GTTTCAGGGAGGCGTCCAGTGAAATAACATTGTTTAACTTAGACTAATATGATAGCAAAGTCTTGGGCGCAACAGACCTCAGCAACCTGCAACATATAAACTATTAACAGTATTAATAGTAAGCACTTTTTCTAATCTTTCCAATGGATGCTGTGTTTTATTCCTGCAAATGGGAACCACGTGATCCATCAACTGGTGCTTAAAGCTCAGTTTTTTGCCATGCTTTGCCTGCCTTCCATCTTTCCTAATTCACTCAATGTAAAATGCATGAAGTTTTATAAAGACCACAAATATATAAACATTTGGATGGAAAATAACTTTTAAAATGTTCTCAGAAACTGCTTATAAACAGAATTTATTAAATAGCTGGGGGGGGTGTAAAAGAGTTGTTTTTGTAAAAACGTTTTTTGTAAATTTAAAAGACACCAAACATTTAAGGTATTCATTGTTAGGCCATTTTGGAACAGTTAACCTTTTGAACCATTCTTAGGGTATGCTGACCCCTAAAGGTCTAAAGACACTAAATACTTCCAAAAGTGATATAAAATGTACAATATAATACAATGAAAGATGAGAATTCGAGTTTCAACTAAGTTACTAAACTAAGAACACTTTTGTTTTCAAAGATATTTGATTCAGAAATATTTTTCAAGGAATTCACAATATGAATATTAAAAAGATGTCTAATGCTAATTTTCTTCATACTGCGTACCTACAAAATTCTCCATGCCAACGTATATAACAGTCATCTTCCCCAATAAAGAATGCTTTCTCTGCTTTGCAAACAAAGTTCGTTTTATGATATACTTGAAACTAATTCTATTTGGAAAAAATAGGAAAGTAAAAATCCAGAAAACAAAAATACATTATGTACTACCAAGTTTTTTCATAGGAGAAATCTTTATGGGTAAAGCCGGACTCTCTGAGCATAGAAGTATGGTAGGAAATTATGAGAGAGCACCATTTGCCTATGAGCTTCAGCCTTCCTTTGCCTGTCCTTGCCTTTCTACATGGGCCACTTCATGATGCATCATCTTTCTGACACTCATTTTCTACGAAGGGTATGATGCTTCTTTAGAAAATTCAACCCTTAGGATCATAGGAAAATAGGGCTAGAAGAGACCTCATGGGGTCATCTAGTCGAGACCCCTGATCAGATAAGGATCATTCTCATTAAGCCATCCCAGCAAGTGTCTGTCTAACCTTCTCTTGAAATTTCCAGGGCTGCAGATTCCACAACTTCTCTAGATAGTCTGTTCCCATGCTTGACCACTCTTATAGTCAGAAAGTTCTTCCTAATCTCCAGCCTAAATTTTCTCTGCTCACAGGCAGATATAGGACTTCGTAAAAGGGACTGGGGGGTGGGGGAGAGGATGTAGAAACAGTAACTAGTATTACAGGGGTGGCTGCACTCCCACTCCCAGGAGCAGCAGCTGGGAACTTTTCTAAAGTCCTCAAAGTAGGTAAGAACCCCGCCTCCACTCTCCACACCTCCTGCCTTCCTGTCCATGTTCATCAGCACTATAGGCAGTGGAAGGCCAGGGCTAACAGGTCTTAGGCCCCACAAAACATGGAGCAGTAGTGGCAGCGCAGAGGGCCACAGGGCAGCCTGGGCATGGGCTCCGGGCAGCTGCAGTGGGGGAGGGGGAGAGGCGCACACAGACAAACAGGCAGGCACAGCCTGCTGCAGGTGGCAGCCAGGAACACAGCCCATTATCATGTGGAGAAGTGCCCAGCAGGTAAGTGCATGGGGGGAAGGGACATGTGTGGGGCAGATTGAGGCTCCCATGGTGAGGGAGTGAGTAGGGCAGGGGCTGGGGTGAATGGGGCCCCAGGGCAGTTCATGGGACAGTTGGAGCCCTGGGAGGCTCATCCAGGGTTGTGGAGGGGGCTCCTGCCCCTGGGCACACCTGGGGAAGGCATGGGGGCCATGTGCCCCCCAGATTTGTGCACAGGGCAGAGAGGAGGTGAGCTGCTGCTGCATGTTGGGACTCTGTGCCCCACTGTCATTGCTCTGGGAGCCACACACTGGCTGCACCACATCCCCTGCCCACTCAATGACAGGAAGCACATGGCATGGCATAGCGTGGCGTGGTGTGGTGTGGCTCAGCTCGCTCAATCTGCCCCCTCCTACTCCCCTTCCTTTCCCCACTCCCCTCCCCCCCACCACACACTTATCTGCTGGGTGGTGTCTGTGTAGTGGCACAGTAGAAGTATCTTTTAAGTTTAACTCAGCACCCCCAAATAATGTTTTCTCCCTCTGCCTATGGTCAGCACATCCTTTCCTCTCCCCTACTATTCCTTCCACTCCTGTCCACCACTGCCACTGTCCCCAGCTGACCCAAAGGCATGGAGAGCTCCAGAGCTGCTCTTCCCAGCCTGCATGGGAAACTAGGTACATCTGGGGGCAGTGGACAGGTTCCTCCTACCTGCCTGATCCCTCTAAGTCCCCAAGCATTCTTTATTAGCTTGGGGACAGGCTCAGTGAGGGAGGCATCCACTTGCCACTACTGTCACAGCTGCTGTCCCTGGCTGAGTTTGGATCCCAGAGCAGCCTGGCTAGAGTAGGATAGGAGTGGCTCTAAAGTTTCTCCTGCCCCAGAACAGCTGAGGACAGTGGTAGCAGTGGTTGGGGGACTGGAAAAGTGGGAGGCTAGAAAAGAGGAAGAGAGGGGATGTGATATAACATACCTCTCCTGATCATGGAAAGGAACAGGCAGGAATTCCTACCTGATGTAGGGACCTAAAATCCCTGGCTGTTGGCCTCTTGGTATGCTCTGAAAAGAGGTTATGACCATACCACTGCACCCCTATGGACCTGCCTCTGCTGCAGCTTGAGGCCATTTCTACTAGTTCTGTCCACTATGGTCACAGGGAAATGTCTGATTACCACCCCCTTTATCAATGACTGTTCAGGTATTTGAAGGCTATTATTTAATTCCCCCTCATCCTTCTTTTTTTCATGCTAAATAACCCTAGCTTTTTCTACCCTTCCACACAAGTCATATTTTCCCACACTTCTAATAATTTTTTGCTGCTCGGATGGACTCTTTCCAAGCTGTCTACATCCTTCTTGAAGTGTGGGGTCTAATACTGGACACAGTACTCTAGATGAGGTCTCACTGGTACCAAATGGAGCAAAAGAAACACTTCCCCAGTTTTTTAAGAGGCTCCTCTTAAACCAGTATGCTGTTGCTTTCTTTCTTTCTTTTTTTTTTGCAAAAAGAGCATGCTGTTGGCAGCCCACTGTAACCCCCAAGTCCTTCTCCACACCCATATTTTATATTGTGCACACACACACACACACACAAACACACACAGTGGGTGTGCATGTATACATATATCCATATATATTAGAATACTAAAAAAAATGTACATTTGTATATGTATTTTATGTATACACATACATACTTTTTCTAGTATTCTAATAAATATACACTACAGATACATTTAGTTACAACAGTCACCACTACTATTTTCAACCCCCAGGTGTTTCTCTTCACAAAATGCTCATTTATTGTAGAATTGTGTATGCTGCAACTAAGGCATGCCCATGAATTCCCTTTGGTTCATTTAAAAGCAAGATGATCATTCTCTATCATGATCAAGAAAGTAAAAGTCCCTTGATCTAGTAAAAGTCCCTTGAGTTGCACCAAATTCTATGTTGTTACTTAAACTGAAATAATATTAAATTATGTCTTAGTTACCTTAACAGACAAGGTTTCATTTCACACCACAAATGACAGCTTCAGTAGTTGGAAAAAGTGGCTTACTTCAAAATGGACTTGAGAGAGACAGAAAGAGAGAGCAAAGAGCAATCTTAGGGACTTGTTACACATTACACCAGGGGTGGGCAAAATGAGACCCAGGGGCTGGACGCAGCCCACCAGGCCATTGTATCTGGCCTGTGGAGCCCCTAAAAAATTTAGAAAATTAATATTAATCTGCCCTGGGCTCCCTGTCATGCGGCCCTTGATGGTTTTTCGAAACTCAGTATGCGGCCCTCTGCCCAAAATAATTGCCCACCCCTGCATTACATTGTGAGCTGCTCAAAAGTTGATCAGCATTACCGCTAGCTCAAGTCTGGAGCAGAAACACATTCAGGCTAGCAGGGGCCTGGAGGACTGAGAGGTAAGAACTGCCCCTCCTCCCCTCCATCATTCCAGGCTTCCCCCTCGTCTCTGGGGCTTCCCTGGTTCCTCCTGCCCCTGGGGCTGCCTTCCTACCCCTCAGAGTTCCCCACACCCTCCTCAGCACCCAGATGCCCACTCACTGCCTCCCACCCCCAACTTACTTGTGGCTTCCCGTGCTGTCTATCTTAGGGACACATATAGGGATGAGTCCCTTGCCTGCTCCCCTGCGACAGACAACATGGGGAGCCACATGTAAGCAGGGAGGGGGAAGCAGGGGGGCAGTGAGCAGGGATCTGGGATGCTGGGGAAGGCAAGAGAGGGCAGGGAGCCCAATCTGAGCCAGTGGGGAGGGGTGGTGGGTGGGGTGTTTATACTAGCATGTAGCCTAGAGAGGCTGCACATTAGTGTAACATGAGCTGGGTAACACAGGTGAGAGAGAAACCTAGGCTGGGAGTGCTGCAGCTCTAAACCACCTAAAGAGTGCTTAAAACTAGTTTCAGGTGTTAACGTATGGACAATCCACGGGTTAAAAGCTCCAGGAGCTGACTAAGATTAACGTGTAACAAGGCCCTTAGAAAGTAATGGTGAGAATTTAAGTGAGATTCCTTAATGTTATAAAACCCAGAGAAACTAAATGGGTAGAAGATTTACACTCCCCTCCCCATTTTCATGGAAGTTTCAGAAAGTTCTCTTTTAAAAGAAAGAAGCTTGCAGCTGGTCATCTTTCACCCAAAAATGTTCTCTAGAGCTGGCACAAAATTATTTTAAAAAGTCACTATTATATCAGCAAAAACAAATATATTCCAGTCAGTACCTAGCACTGGCATAACACCTGAGGTTACGTATTAATACCTTAAAAGTCCTTACCTTTTGACCAGTCCTCCATTTGTACTTCTGAACTTGTTTGATCTGGCACGAACTCTGAGTTTTGCTCCAAGATTTCAGAGCTAAAATAAAGCCAACTCTAGATAAATAAACTTGAAACAATATATTAGAACACACCTATACCTTGCCTTTATTTGACAGAGAATTTACAAGACAAATGATTTTAAAAATATTTATAGTAGTACAATAAACTCTGTGTATTTTAACAGTTAATGCTAAATTATGTTCCTGAGTAAGAGATTTCTCTCTCTGCACACGTTTAGTTTATATAATGGTTTATTCAGTTTTCTGTTGCATTCAATGCTTTTGCTGAAGAATTTATTAGTTTGCCTTCTTGTTGTAGAGCTTGATCTTGCAAATACATGTTACTGAGCAAAGCACAAACTACAATAAATAGTCCCTTTAAAAGACTAGTCAGTGTAGCAAGCTTTACTTGTTTAGTAAGTGCTTCCAGTATTACCTTTATCAGCATGAGTATGTATACCTGAATTTCATAGGCAAATACACAAACAGAACAGCCCATTTTCAAATTTTAACATCTATGTTTAGAAGGGGTGGGTGGAAACCAAACTTTTGAAGCAAAATGCTCCTATCTCCAAAAATAAAAAAAGCCTGTAATTCTTATGTATTGGCCCATAATGTATATACTGTTATATAAAATTACATTTTTGGTCACAATATTAACACCACCTAAGATATTAAAAACCCTAAATAGCCTGTAAATTAGGCATATAATAAAAAGTCTAGGTCAAATATAAGATTATACTTAATAAATAAAAATGAAGCAAGAAAAAAAGTTCTTGTTTTATATAATGAGAAGTGTAAAAAATTCCATGATACCAAGCAGTTTATGGAAATCCAAAGAAATAAAGGTTTTATCTATTATAATATTTATTCTACCATCTATTAAACACAGTATACAAATAGCAATTTTTCACTCCACAGTACACGTGTTAGAGGAACATGCAAGTAGTAAATGTAAAATAGAACAAATATACTATTTATCTTAAAAAAGCCGTTTGAAAAGGTAATGTTTGAGCCAATGAAAATGCATAAAGAATTACCATTTCAGCTGATAAATCTGATGTAGTGTAAAAATGTATCTCTTAAAAGTGAAGATGTAAAAGTCTACTATATTATATCAACATACAAGTGTTTCAATATTCAACTAAGCAGCAAAAGAAAGAGTTTTGTTAGGTTTTTAAAAAAAATAAAATGCTACAGGGGCTCAATTTTAACTTCGAGATAATAAAAAATATTCTTTAGGACAGCAACAAGATTTATTCAGACTAATAGTCACAGTAAGCATTCAGGAATTACATTTATTTCTAGCTCCTAATTGTCTGAAGTGTAAGCGCATATGGTGAAAGCAGCACAACTGTTTATTTGATGTGCTTGCTTCTTAGTAATTGTTTTTAAATGATAGCTTTATCTCATATCTACAGCATGAAGTTCCTTACAAAAGTCCTCAAATGAAGCTGTAAGCTGCTTCTTTTTCAATTTTGTGTAACTGTGTTGATTTGGAGTTGGCAATCTTAGTTTCTAAGTTCCTCATTTACTTTTGGATTAGCTGAAAATATAGAAGGTTATTAATATCAAAGAAATGTTTCAGTCAATGAAAA